GGACAGTTAAACTCCCAAATGACCACAAGGGGGCAGCAAACTCCTCAGCCCCAGGGAGCAGTCACCAGCAGGGCAGCTTCCCCTGTCCTCCCCTGCCACCGTGGACTGGCTCCAGCAAACAGCTGCCAGCCACCCTCTCTCATTTCCCTGAGCTCCCACCCCCATTCCTGCATATCTCCACACCTTCAAACCCCCTGCCCTGACTCCTGCACTTCCCATCCCAAACCCCTGCCCTAAGCTTCCCACATCTCTAAGTCCCTGTCCTGGCTCCTGCACCTTCTACATCTCCCACCCCCGAAAGAAGCCATATACTTCAGCTATCTTGAGAAAAAATATTTGTATAAAAAGGAAGCCATCACTGAATTATTTGGGTGAAATCTTGGGAGCTTTACCATTGCCATCAGAGGGGCCAGAATTTCATCCCATTAATTGATGCTCACTCCCAGGGGTACATCTAGACTGCAAGGCTATTTCGGGATACCAGAGGTATCCCGAAATAGCTAACCCACATCCAAGGAACGCATCCACTATTTTAAAATAATTTTTGAAATAACAGATGCGCTATTTCAGCATCCCTATAAACCTCGTTCCATGAAGAATAAGGGATGTCTCAAAATAGTGCTTTATTTCAAAACTTATAGACGTATAGAATGTGCCAAATTTCAAAATAGCCTATTTCAAAATAAAAACGCAAATTGCATGTCTTATTTCGATTTTAGAGTGCAGTCTAGACATACCCATAGTGTATAGTCCAGTAGATAGAGACCAACTTTATTTTCTTAGAACCCTAAAACATATTTGCTACGTCTAGACTGTTTTCCGTTAAAAGCATTTGTGGAAAAGAGCGTCTAGATTGGCATGGATGCTTTTCCGCAAAAGCACTTTTTGCGCAAAAGCATCCGTGGCCACTCTAGACACGCTTTTGCGCAAAAAAAGCCCCGATCGCCATTTTCGTGATCGGGGCTTTTTTGTGCAGAACAAATCTGAGCTGTCTACACTGGCCCTTTTGTGCAAAAGGACTTTTGCCCGAATGGGAGCAGCATAGTATTTCCGCAAGAAGCACTGATTTCTTACATGAGATCGTTAGTGTTCTTGCGGAAATTCAAGCGGCCAGTGTAGTCAGCTGGCAAGTTTTTCCGCAAAAGCACCTGCTTTTGCAGAAAAACTTGCCAGTCTAGACATAGCCATTTTGTTTGGCAATAGCTGATATTCATGTTTTTGTTAAATACTGCAGTTAAGTACCCTTGAGAATATGGGTATGAGTGGCAAAGTTTAGAAGAAAATGAAAAGCCCTTAAATGGTCAGTGTGCACATCATTAGCATTCAAACCGTTTAAGCCAAGTCAGACCTTTTCTCTCACCACCATTGTCATCTATTCTTATTTCTATGGGCGTGTCTTCACTACAGAGTGGATCAACACTGTAGCAATCAATCCATTGGTAGTCAATTTATGTGACTGCTTAGAAGTGATAAATTGACCTTTGAGCCCTCTCCCATTGCCTTCAGTACTCCACCAGGAGGAGAAGCGTCAATGGGAGAATAGCAACCACTGACCTTACTGCATGGTAGACACCGCAGTATGTCGACTTCAGCTATGCTATTCATGTAGCTGAAGTTGGATCTCTCCAATCCCATCAACTTCAGTGGGACCTAAAGACCTTATCATCCATTATTTGTCTGCTCTCTCTAATTTTAATGACAGTTTACATTTGTATACAATAATCTGGGATATGTGGCATAATAGTCTTATTGAGATTAAATAGAAAATGAGAGAAGTGAGAGAGAATGGTAGAATCTATTTTTCCCCTCTTGGTATTCAACACTAGAGTTCTTTAAACAAAAACTGCCTTACAAAATCTTTTGGTTCCAAGGGTTTTTAGTGTACCACAATGCATGTGGGTGCATAATGTGTATTTGTATTCTTTTGCACTTTATATATATATTCCTTTGTACATATATATATATAGGCATAAAAATTCCTAAAGCAACATGACTCTCACAACAAACAGAACTGACAGCCTTTTAGCTGGACAGCATATGCAAGCACAGACTGCCATTGTTCTAAAGCTATCTGAGAGTCAAGGAAACAGAGGTCATTAATTTCACATTTGCAGATATGCGCTAAAATGTATTTAAAACAAAATAACCAAACTTCAAAGCAGAAATGTTGGAAAAGTTTTAAAAGGGGATTGTATGTGGATGCAGGAACAGTTTGCTTGTTCCTGTCACTATTGGCACCGAGAAATTTTACTGTCCTTTGCTTTTGCTAAATATTAGCAGAGTAAATTCTTAAAAATTGCATCTCTCTCATAGGCTGGACTAATAACCACTGTTAGTAGTGGCCAGAAGTTGACTTGAAGGGAAGCAAAAGAGGATCTCTGAAGAGACCTGAAATGGCAAGTGAATAAAAAACTGCACTAAATTCCATTTTGGCTGAGTGTCCCACCTACAGGCTCCAGCACAGCTTCTGGAATAAGGAACAAAAATAATAGTAAACTCCCTGTACTTAGAAGACCTGCCAGCAATGGAATGAAAAACAAAGCTAAAGTCCAGCCTCAGGCAGCCTAGATAAGGAGATTTGCCAAAGGACCACCAACTCTGTCTCTGCTGAAACAAGCAGAGATAGATGGAGCAGCTTTCAGAGGTGACATCAGAGCATCTGTGCCAAAACCCATCTATTTACAATTCTCATATGCTGCCTCTGAACGCTGCCTGTTTTTATTCATTTATCAAGTCATTCTCCAGTGCCTGCCTTCTCTTACACCTATACTTAATAACAGTCTCGGATTAGCATTTCCTAATGGATTTGGTGCCCAAGTTTTCCGCTGGTCCCAGTTTACTCTTGCTCCAGCAGGGTCTGGAAAGGAGAGGCAGATTTTCATTTGAAGTGGCCCCAACTTCAGTTTCTCAGAGTCACTACATTTAAAACATACCGCACGAACACATGCTGCAAATTAGAGAACACTGAATTAGAAACCAGACCTGGGCATACCTGGGTAACACCCCCTTCCCTCCATCTTGCCACTCAGCCTGGCAAACAGAGTTTCCTTCAATTTCTCACACTTGCTATATTTGTAAATCTGCACCTATCTAAATAGGGCTGGTTTGTTTGCCTGCACTGGGCCATCAGGAACAAGCTGACCCACCACCATTTCCTTCCTTCTTTCCTTCCCCAGGGAGTTCGCCCACAGCAAAGTTTGCACAGAAGTAGGTTGCAATTCGGAACCTACAGGCAGCAAGCAAGCCAGGAGTGGTAGATTTGTGAGTGTGGCAGGTCAGAATCACCCCCCCACACACACACACACCCACACCTACTTCACCCTAATTAATTCTGAAACTGGGTTTGCAACCACAGGGAGAGGCAATGCGGGGGGGGGGGGGCAAAGAGAGGTAGGTGAGGGCCACAAACCCTGCCCCAGTGCCGGAAGCTTGAACGCTGCCTCTCGACAGTGGTTTTCCGCAGTGTCTCTCTTGCTCTGCCAGCCTTGACATAGACAAGGCTGGTGATCAAGGTCTGGGGAACTCAGTCTACATCCTGTCCTCCCTTCTTTATCCAGCCCTGTATTGTTTAGCCTCATTTCTTTTTTCTTGGTCCTGTTGGTCTCAGACTGCTGCAGTCCTGGCTCTGCCCTGGCTGGCTGGGACCACCCCTACTGTGGCTCTGCAGTTTAAATGTAGGAGTTTGGCTGTGGCTCCTAAATACATTTAAACTACAGAGCCAGTGGGGGTAGCTCCTGGGCCAGCAAATTGTATCAACTACAGGATTGGTCAATTACCCCCCTTCAGCCCCCAGCCGAGCCCCAATGCCTTCCCAGGGGCCGTCCCCAGGTTGCTGGAGCCAGACATCCCTTGCACCCCGCCCAGCTGCCGGTGGCAGAGGGGGGCGTGGGCAGTCTGCAAGCCCCAGCGCTGTGCTCTCCCCGCTGCTCCGCCAGCCGCCGCTGCGATCCTCTCTCTGTCCCGCGGGTGCCCCCTCTCTGCGGCAGGGGGCGCTGTTCCCCTCCTCTTGCTTAGATCCCTCTCCTGAGCCCGGGGGCGTCAGCATGCGCCGGTCACATGACTTTCTCCGGCGTGTGCAGCGAGTTGGGTCACGTGACCTCCTAGGTTCGCTGCAGCCTCCTTCAGTCGGACAGGTGACCAAGACCCGGGGAAAAGAGAAGGGCCGATAATAACACACACCCCTGTCCCGGGCAGCAATAAGTTTGCCTCGGTAGCAAGGGCAGTCGCGAGACCGGCCTCCTCACGCGCTTCTCTACAGGCCCCAGGAAAGCGTCACATGACTCCAGCCGCCACTAACCTGGCCGGTGG